CCCAGTTTAATTACGATTTGTTGATTTTCTAAGTGAAAATAAGTAAACACATCCTCTCCAGAGAACACACTTCTGCACATTTGAATGCACTAATTACTGTTTATTTGCAGGTTTAACATACTGGAAAAAATAAAACATAAAATATGAAAAGTGCCATAACTTTTGCACAGGCTTTGCTCTATTTTTATCTATTTTTATTAAATTCAGTAAATAATAAGTAATTGTGCATTGAAATGTGCAGGAGTGTGTATGTGTAATACATTGATTCTAACTACACAATTAATGCATGTAAGCAGAATTTTCTTATCACATTATGTATAAGGGCATTTGGTCCTCAGCAATACAGAGATACAACTACACATTTACACACACATTAGAAGGACTAAAACAGCCCACACACACACACACACACCCCATACCTGTTGAGTAGGTGTGTGAGCTCCACCATCACTGGCTGAATTCTTCTCTTTAGGACTGAGTAACGTCATGGAGGAATTCAGAATGCAGAAAAAAACATTAAAATCATAAATCAATGATTCATCACCTTCTTATATTACACTCAGTATAAAGGGGATACAGATTACTGCGCAAAATTCAGAGACCACCCTTCATTTTTTATTTCCAGTCAAAACATGCATTAATTATAAGTTATTCATTTTTCATTATTTGTTTTCACTGGACGTTTTTTTTTTGGAAATTAAACAAACGAAGCTTGGTCTTTGACTTTTAGGCTTAGTTATTACTGAAATCACCATGGCAACTTGTCTCGCACACCTAACCTGATCCAGGACAGGATGAATTGGGAATTTTGGATCATAAATAGCTCTTCGATCAATAAGGGCCGAGATTCTGACCAATCAGGCACAACTTTCTGAGGGGGGAAGGTCACTGTTTTTGTGATGTTTGTGGCAAGTCAAAAAATCGAGCTTATATTAAAAGTTGCAATAATGATTCCTGTTATATTTATCACTAATCTCTGATTGGCTGTTTCACCTCTTGTCTTCATCCTCTGATTGGCTGAGCTCCTCACTCAAAGCTGACTCCTCACTGGCTGAATCGTGACCATCACTGCTCACTGCAGAGAAAACATAAATTGATTTGTAAAATTACACTTTAATTTTAATTAAAGTAATTTTCGCTGGAGTGTCGTTAAAGGATCTCACACGGCTGGCTGTGTCTGTACAAGGGTTATGTATAAATTATCACTGTTAGCAACCAAGACAGTCCGCTTTCATTTAGTTTTCAACAGAAACTGATTTTGTAACCACTGTGAGAGCTTGCATCACAAATGGCAATTATCGGGGTCCAAGCACTGTGCGCCATTATGGAGCCAGCGGAAGATAAATATTTATAATAGATGTGGGGTCTCAAAAGATGATGTCTACCAAATTTCATACACATTGGCCTTTTGAACTCGATGTAGTAAGCAGGAGACTACCAAAAATAAGTCAGAACACCTAGTACTGTAAAATATTTAGACATGACTTGTATTTGCATAGCTAAACTTACTGAACATGATAACCGCTGTGGAAATACGCCTTTAGTTGGTCTGAAATCACAAATGTCCTCCATGGAACGATGCCACTGGATCTCTCTAAAGGGGACTGGTCTCTGAACTTGTCACTTTTTTCACTGCTCATTAATTTTCTAAACTTTAGGGTCATTAGGGTTAATCAATCAAAATCACTTCACTAACCAACAATCAGTTCTTTGTCCTGATTTGTTTTCTTCCTCTTCAGATTGTCTGGATCCTTATTATGGCCTTTAGCCTCCGCCTCCAGTGGGGCGAGACCACAGCTCAGCAGGTGGTGACGGGTCAGTGGTTTTGAAGTTGGATTGTCAGGATCAGAGCTGTTATCAGTCGGCTCACCTACAGATGTAACAGTATTTACTCAGATGAATACAATCTAACATTTATGGGCAGAGAAATGTCAAAATACTTTACTATATATTGTAATACTATACTACAATACGTACAGTAATGTGCAAAAGTCAGATTATTAAATTTCCAGTCAAAACAGCCAAAATACATCTTAATTTTCTCAGTGTTTTCCAAAAAAAGGAGTAAAGATACAGTATATTTAACAGAAAATTACACAGAAGTTTAAACAACTAACTCTAATATACAATTCTTCAGTGTTTAGTGGGTCCACTCTACCTTTATTACAGTTAATCATTCTTTTCAGGAGACTCATTTTCAGTTTTTCAAAGAAACCTGCAGGGATATTTTTCCACACTTCCAAAGTTCAGTCTTACAAGTTGGTTTTGTTTTCCTGCTTTTCACAATCCATGTAATCCCAAACACATTTACTGATGTTGAGGTCTGGACTCTGGAATGGTTGCTCCATTTCCTTTTCTCAGTAACAGCTTCACAATTTTTTCAGATCTGAAATAGCTTGATTTTCTCCTCTCCCTCAAAAATGAAACCTGTTTATCTGATGGGGGCAGTTTTGGCGTTTACCAGGTCTTCCAGGTTGTTGTCAGGAGTCTCATTTTCTCTGTAGCTTTTTATCACAATTTGAACTCCAGTTTTGGAAAATCCTGTTTTTTCACATCGACTTTCTCCTTCCTGATGCAAATGGATTATCTCACATCTAATCTCCTCAGAAATACCTCCTGGAAAAATGAGTAACTCAGTGGACATTGAGTTCCAAATTTGGAATTCTGGATCATAAACAGCTCTGGGAACAAAAAGGGACGAGATTCCTCGTTTTCATTTTGAACCCTTTTTGTCCCTTCTTATGTAAGTGGATCATCTTATATGTAATCTCCTCAGACATATCTCCTCAAAAATCAATAACTTGTACCTAACTGCTGTTTTGACTGGAAATTAAATGAACGAAGGGTGGGGTGGTCTCTGACTTTTACACAGTACTGCATGTATCTGCATGATATTTAGTATGACTATGTTTGAAACAGTACTTTTATCATATTTTTAGCATTTTAGACATACTGACCATACTCCAGCTAAGCTCAAAAAGGCATAAAACAAACCATTAAACCATTAATTTTGACAGATTTTGCTTAAATTTTAGCACACTGGGCCATTTTGGGCCTTCATAACCTAATTGCCAATTTGATTTGATTGATTTTGCTTAATTTTCTGCATGCTGGGCCATTTTAGCCTTAATAACCTAAACATCATATTGATTTTTATTCGGCCTGGTCCTACAATATGCTGAAATAACACAAACATAAGTCAGGATTACATGCAAATAAGCATGTACAGTACAGTTGGGAACAAGCTATTACTACAATTCTGAGAATTCATTCAAATAAATGATATTTTAAAAAGTTGAATATCTCTCAAACATCCCAAAGAAACCCTCCCAAACATTAATTAATAGCCTACTTTTTCTAGTACACTGTTTGCTGCAAATAATGCACCATATCTAATATCACAAATCTTAATATATCATGCTAATGCCAACCTGAGTTTTATCACGTCTGCTTTTGAATGTTAGAAAACTATAGATAAAGCATTAAGGAAGTCCTGTACTACACATTTTGAAATGTATCGATTGCTTTGAAAGAAATAATGAAGATATTCATGAAAAGTTTCTAAATATGGCACTTAATTTACAGAAACATTAGGAGTGTTGGTGTTTCTTACTTTATTAAACATGGAGGAAATACTTACTGACATCAGTCAAGTTTTCATTCTTTTCCTTTTCATTGTTCTCCCTCAACCCCTCCTCATCCTCACTCTCTGCTCCCTCGCTGTCGTCGGACATGCTCTCCTGGTCAGACTCGGATGAAAGATTGGCTCTGATCTGAGCCAACAGAATCTGCTTAGCAATTCTACACAGATCCAGCAGCAGGGGAGGAAGAGGAGAAACGCTGTTTAGTTGTCTATTTTATTTTTTTCTTTTTAAACTGTCTTGTTTGGGAATCCTTTATCAAATGTTTGAGTATGCTCATACAGGAAGTATAAGCATATACAGTAAAGCTATTATTAATCAATTAACAGAAAGCAGAAATGGCAAAGTGATAGTGCTATTCTTAAAGACTTAAATTTGGCAGTCAAATTGTGAAAAATTAAAAAAGGTATAAAAATGCATCGACATCCATTTGAAGGTGGCGATTTGACTGCACTGATTTTAGAAACAAATAATCTACCTATATAATATTTAATAAGGTATAATTCTCATTTTGCACTAAAATAAAATTCTGATGCATGTAAAAATCCAAATTAAAGTTGTTGTTTTTTTTGCATTGTTTTAATGACTAACTTTGAGCTAACATTTTTTCATACTCGGACACCGTTTTATGTTTGGCAGGAAGCACACAGTCATGCCCCAATCAAATCGCTGCTGTCTGAGCAAAACCTTGTATCTCCAAAACGGTACTTTTTTTTTCTTGGTAAAAAGCATACTTTAATTTTAATGTAAGTCAATGGAACCAGATTTTCTTCCATGTCTTTTTGGGACGATTCTTTTGGTCCATTCTCCATTAAATTTACACACAATGTAAAGAACAACAGACCTTTTCAAATTATGTCAAAAACTGAAAAATGGAGATGGAGATACGAGGTTTTGTTCCGACAGCAGTGAAAAGTTTCTTTAAAACGCTGACGTCCCTCCGTTCAGCTGTTTTTCAAAGGCAGCACAGACGTATCCTTCGCTGCCTGGGGTCGGGGGGTATTAAATAAGATCTCACACTGGAATTTAACATAATAATAATAATAATAATAATAATAAAAACATCTTCAGATTACCGTCTAAGAAATTAGGTTAAAATAACTGGCCCATTCTGGGAAGAGTTTTCTTCCAACACAGATTTTTTTTTTATATGGATTTTTTAATATCTGATCATTGTCTTAAATATTGTTGCACAATTCTAATCTTATTTAAATCCCCAAATATCACTGAACGCAGAATGGGCTAATCGTACTTAAGCTTGTGCATCCGACTCTCAATGTCAGGTGACTGTGTAAACAAAAAACAGTTACAAAAAGAAAAATATATATGAATGAATAAATAAAGGCACAGAGACGAGACTAGTGTGGGGTAAATTTATTTATTACAACGGCGCTTACATACACTGGTACTTACAATTCGGTTTATTCTTGATCCATTTCTTCTGCATGCAGTTTTTAAAACTTAAAAAGGAAATTTCTTTACAAGTTTAAATGTGTGAGAACTGAAATGAGAAGGAAAAAAAACGTAATAAATAATAGAAAAAGTGACATTAGCATGCAGTCATTTTGGAATTTGTTTTTGTTTGTTTCTCTTTTCCTGACACGAAGGTTGTGGTCCAACTACGGAAGCGAGGAAGGGTCCAGTGAAAAGAGAACAGAGAGGAAAAGAAAGAGACAGCCAGAGAAACAGAGCAATGGAGGGTTAGAAAGAAAGATCACAAGAGCACGGAATAAAGAAAATGTTAAGATAGCACAAAGAGAATGACAGAGCAGAAGGGAAGAAAGAAGAGGGAGAAAAAGGAGGAGAGCAGGTGTGAATAGCTGGGCTGGGCAACCTGGAAAAGCGGCTCACCTCACCCTATGCTGCAGAAACAAAGAAAAACACGGGAGAGAAGAAAAAGAAAAACATTCACACTCTTCCTCAAGCTTTCCATTTACCCCACACAGCCTCTGGCTCTGCTCACTTCAAACAGAAACCCTCCCAACTGAAGTACAAACACCGTCAGCAAACCGCCAACATGAGAACAGTTTGCAACGTTCTAACGAAAATGTCGGCCCTGAAAGGCTGAAAGACAGCAAGTGGATAAAAGCACCTCCCACCCCAAAAAAGGATATAAAATTATGAATTCTCAGCCGACTGACCCATGCTCCACCCACTTACGCAATCATTTGCTGTTAGTAGGTCGGACAGGCTTCGCAGAACGCTGGTAAAACCCATTTATCCTAATCAGAACCTGTAACACTCCGTTGTTGTCCAAATGTCTGAATTCAGAGTGTCATTTTTTTTTAAATAATATTTATTTTGTGTTTGTGAGAAGTCTGATTCATACTTCTGCATATGTAGGTGTCATGCAATGCCTGCCAACACACTCGAATCCTCACTGTTTTGAAGACGGGCGGTGTAAATGTTTATAATGTCGCACTTCTCCCACCAGCCGATCCTCAAACTGCTCCTTTTGGTTCAGTTCTGGTTTGTGTCAAGTGTCTCGTCTTACCACGAATGCTACCAGAGAGCCAATCAATATTCGCTTCATATTTAGGACTTTATGAGCCTTATGCTTACCCATGAACCCCTTTTCTAAGGCAGACAGCTCGCATGCATCTTTGTAGAAGTATAAATCAGTCTTTAAGACAGATGGACTGTAGTTTGTTTCTGTAATCAAAGTTTTAAGCGATAAACAGCTGCCAGCTTGCAATGAGTTGCCTTTTTTTGCTGTAATATCAGTCAAATGGCAAATACAACAGGTAAAACATTGTGAGAAAGTTTGTCAAAATGCTGAAGTTATTAGTGTCAAATTATGCTTATTTTTGTATGCTTGTGAAAGATCACACTGTTCAGGTATAGTTCGTTTTTGGTCATGCAATCAAAGCTTTAGGATATAAGCATTAAATTACAGGCTTAGCATAAATATTTCCAGCTTCGGCTGTTTCTAACACTGCTAGCTGGTTAAGCTGACGTTGCGGCCTACGCTGCTAGCTAGTGTAGCATGGTTTCACTGAGGTAGTTTGAGACAGTATACTGTGGTGCTTCGCAATTTTTGTGGTAATATCAGTATAAAATTACAAAAACTGCTAAAATACACTGGGGAAGCTTCAGAAATTAGGAAACTGAGAAACTGTAGCACATCAATTTTTGACAAAATACAATATTTATTTTTTGTGTGTGAGAAAAGTTGCACTGTTGGGATGGATCGATTATAGTCTGTTTTTGACTGTGTATTTAAAGCCTTAGGAGATAAACAGCAAATTAACAGGCTGAGCAGAAAGACCAGCATCCGCCGTTTTAAGGTAAGGTAGCTTGAGACAGTATAACCGTTGTGCTCTGCATTTTTTGTAGTAATCTCAGTATAAGTCACAAAAAACTGCTAAAATACATTTAAGTATGTGTCAGAATACTTATATTTATTTTGTGTGCATGTGAAAATGTTCACTGTTACGTTAAAACGATTATAGTTCATCATCGGACAGGCTTGGCAGAAGATTTCCATCTTTAGCCATTTTAACCGTTGCTAGCTTGCCAAGTTAACACTGCAGCCTACACTGCTAGCTATTGTAGCTTGATTTAACTGATATAATTCGAGGTAGCATATTGTTTTTAGCTGCTGTAATCAGGATATATGGTATGTGTGACGAGGAAAATCAGAAATTTCTCAAATTATATTTCTTTCGTTTGCATGTGAAAGGTTCTTGAGATTGTGTAGCACTTTTTTGGCATGCCATCACATTCAATTCCAACCTGTCTAATTTGGCTACAACAGTCCAGCTTAGTAGCACAGTTTTTATACTGGAACTCAACACTGTAGCAGCCCAATGTGAAGCTCTACGGTTGAATTTGATTTTTACCAGCATTTTGTAAGACTCATCTAACCTGGCAACACTAGCAAAAAAGATGACGTCTGTGGGCGGAGCACGGCTAGATTATTTCTAACTTAAGAAAAAAAAGGTGTCTTGACAGTATATAGATCACACAGGCAGACTGTAGAAAATGGTGTTCTACTTCTAACATGCGATTCCAATCAGTCTTGAAACACCACAGGTATTGTTTTTCATTCTTTCTGCAAACACTTCACCCACAGCGCTCCTAACCAGTGAGAGACGCAGGCCGATAAGCTACAAAATCATACAGTCACTGATCGTCATTACTGTATCAATCTTTACATTATATAAAAAAACACCACATCATTACAAACACAAACTTCTAAGCACTGATGTTTTTATCACAGGCACTACAACTTTAACGTAAGCCACTTTGGTCATCCTATTTAAGGAGGCACACTAGAAACTGGACACGTAACACAGTTATTTTGATGTTTCTTGTACATAATGTCTCCATAGTTTTGTTTGTGCAGCCCCCTCAGTCCATTATAACAATAACTGTTTAATGGCTAATGCTATTTTCTGAATCTGGACACACGATTCTCCCATTGCACGTTTTTTTGGCTAATGTTGTCCCACCATAAACACACCGAACTGTCACAGTTCCAACAATTAAATATATAAACAAAACAAAGGATGACGTATTGTGAAAACCCTGCTACAAATTCAAGAGTGTGCCTTTGCATCGTATTGAGTGCAAGGGTTGCCAAAAACAAAACCCTTCTTCTTCTTTTAGCCGAACACAATCTTGTCCAATAATACCATAAATACGAATAGTAATAAGAACAAATTTCGTAAAATAATCAAACTAAGTAATTCTAAAATCTCCATCTATAAATGCCGGCCCCCTCCCAAACTCTCTCCCTCTTGCTACATACATACAAAATATACACTACCTTCTCTGATCGCAACTTGTAAACGCATTTAGCGATGTAAACTGCCTCGGTAAAAATACTGACACGTTTGTCTCCCAATATGACACTTAACGCCGCAAGACCGATCTATATAGCTTGTTTTTATTGTTTGTTTTATATAGCGCACCTACCGTTAGCAAACCAAACAGCCCTTGAAATGTCTGACCGACAATACTGCACTTCCAGAACCGTCAGGTTGCGGCCTACAACACACACAAGACAAACACAGCGATAAGTGCTTTCTTGCCAACAAGAGCCGCTGACAGGTGTGGCGTGCAGCCCCTACACTGAAACTAACACTAAAACGTTAATAATAACGGAAATAAGCAGCCGCTAATTTCTCAGAATAGGAAAAAAGTGTAGAAAAATAGATGTAGATATCTAAGGGAAGTTCTTACCAAAGGAAAAGGAGGAAAGAATAAAAACAATAATCCTCTGGCAACAAAAAAGCCAAGTCACAGGACCAGATTCCTGGGGGCAATGGATGTTCAAAAGCTCAAGACGCCATCACTAAGTAACATCCATCAGTTTCCTCAAGGTGCAAACACACTGAAAGGCAGTTACATACGGCTACTTGAACGCTCTCGGGGCCAACGTGACATGAAATGTACAGAAAATACATGACTGGTGAGGAGAGGGGGCCACCCCACGCATTATAGGGACATTTTCTGCAAAACAGGACTGTTTTTTTTTTTCTTTCTTTTTTCGGGTGATTGGGTGAAGGGGGTGTCAGTAATATGTACATAAGTAGTGAAATTCTTCAGGTATAAAGAGAAAACGAAAGGAAGGCAACACATCTGATTGAAATAAATAAACACGCCTCAACCAAATACGAGCTACCGTCAGTTTGGTACACACTTAGAGTGTAAGGCTGTCTTCATATACAACTAAAACGGTGGTGTTTAATTTAGATCCCTCCAAATTTAGGAGAATCATGTATGTGTGTAGATGTGGGTGGGCGTTACATGTTGAGCCGGCGGAGCACGAGCCCGGTGCTGGCCGCTGCACGAGCGTGACGCGTGCGTGTGGGTGTGAGCGACACTTCTGAAGCCGGCGAGGGCTTTTTTAAGCGTGCTTGGACCGCCTCGCTGTTTGGAGGGTTACGCTCTGCAGGACAGCTCCTGAGGTCCGAGTGTGTGTGAGAAACGCCAGCACACTCTGAATCCGAATCGTACCTATTCTCAACATCATCCTCCTCCAGGACCAGAGACGGACTGGGCTGGGCTTCCATTTCATCTCCTGGAGGGAGAGAGAAGGGAAAAAAACATTGAACATTGAGTGAATGCAAATTACATATCCCATTTTCTGTTTGGTCTCAATTTTTGAATTTTGAGAAAGAAAAAGAAAATACTGAAGTTTTAACTTAGCAATTGTAAAAGATACTTGATACCGTACCTGATGGTTGGGATTTATCTTTGTGTTCAGTTCTGTATAACAATCATTATTTTACTTATTGTTTATCTTTGTGTTTGTAGGTCAATATAGTGATTAATTATAGTGATGCATTTTCAGCTTTTAAGACTTATCTTTGTGTTGTAGGCTGATTTAGGTGTTTCTCTTTGCATTTTAAACTAATTTTTGATTTCCTCTTGGACTTTAGACTGATATGTCATTTTTTTGGGTTCATCATTGGTCAATCACTGGTATTTCTGAACGAATATGCCAATATTCATTTTCACATTCACCTTCAAAAACTCTCTTATGTTCATTACTACAATCTCAAAGATGCCCAGCAGGCAGCAACAAGGCTAAAGCCCAGCTGCTTAGGCACCTTAAGCTGTTATAGAAGCCATTTACAGCTTTTATAAGCTCTGAAGACACTAAGGGTCAATTATTGTTTTAACTATCATCACGGTTTTAGTTGGGTGCTTTTATTTTATTTGTATTATTTTAATTGGCCAGTTTTCTAATGCAAATGCAAAGCAGCACTGAGTGGAGCCCAGTCATCGGCAAACTAAAAAGAGTTTAACAGAGGACTGAGGAGATTTTATAACTATATGGTAGTGTGAATGCGAGGACCACCCAGGAAACAGCTCACAAGTTCTCTGTACAGCTAGTGCAGCCTGTCCTCCTGGACCTGGTACCAGCTCTGAGAACACGGTGCAAAGCATCGTGATCCTTTCTACCACAGGCTGTGAGTAGGGCTGAAAGATTAATCGTGTTTATATCATACTCACAATTTAAGTGCAATTCTTAAATCCCAAGAGCTGCAGTTTTTTTAAATTTAAGCCTGTGTTATCAAAAACGCTGCCTTGAGTTTTAATTGGGGAAATTTAACCTAATAACATAGAAATTTGTGAACTGCCTGTAGATGAGTTAGACCAATCAGAGGCAAACAAACCCCCATGTGTTGTGACATCACAACCACAACTTACTGGCAGTCTGGCGCATGACATTCAGGGGTCAAGCCTAAAGCTAGAAAACATAGATATTCTGAACTGAAAGGCCAAAAAAAACAAAACAAAACAAAAAAAAAACTGGCATGAACCTCATACCTTACAGATGATAATCGCAATTTAAATTGCAGTTGCAATATTAGTCAGAAAGATCGCAATTAGATACTCTCCCCAAATCGTTCAGCCCTAGCTCTGAAGCAAGGTAAAGTGGACGCATGAATTCATGACGTACTCAGCTAAACCAGCTGTAACTTTATTTTAATATTTTTTCACATTAACAATAACTCTTCTACTTAAAGGCTTTTGCTGATAAAAGGTGTTGTAGTTTTGGCTACAACAGCAAAATCTATTACATACTACATATAGAATCCAAGACCAACTTAATCAACAAATACGTGACTATTCAAATTAAGGCTAGCCCTAGTTTTAGGTTGATTCAGTGATTCATCATGTGCCAAAAGAACATTGGTAAAAATCAGTCTTAACCCTTTAGTTAATGAACAGTTAACATCTGTTCATTAACTTTTACGGATACTTAAATATCAACATTATACAAATCAGGATGTGCCTTTTGACTATACAGCCTTAAACACTAATCTCTATATTATATATACACAGTACTGTGGAAAAGAGACCACCCTTCATTTATTCACTTTCCAGTCAAAATTAAGAACAAGCTATAATTTTTTAGTATCTATTTCTGAGGAAATTAGATACAAGATTATCCGCTTGCATAAGGAAGGAAGTCAAGAGGTCCAAAACTGGAGTTATTAAAAGCTGCAGAGAAAATGGGACTCCAAAAAAACTGTCAAAACCTGATAGACACCAAAACTGCCCCAATCAGATAAACAGCACTGAAAGCTTTCATCTTTGAGAGAGAAGAGAAAATCAAGCCGCTTCAGATCTGAAAACATCCACAGGTGTTTCTGTCCATCCTTCCACTGTGAGAAGACGACTCAATGCTATGGGTCTGAAAGGATGTGTAGCTGTCAAGAAGAACCTCACTGAGAAAAGGAGACGGACACGTCAAACAAAGAAGCTGAACAATGGACTGACCACCCCAGAGTCCAGACCTCAACACCACTGAATGTGTTTGATTACTTCAGAAAATGATCAACCAACTTCTAAGACTGAACTTTGGAGGCGTGTCTGCAGATTTCTTTCTTTTCTGCTGCCAAAAAATTAATAACTTGCACTTAATGGCAGTAAAATGGACTGGAAATCAAACAAATGAAGGATGGTCTGTAGACGGTACAGATTAACAAACACATACATAAAACAAAGAGCTCACCAGAGGACTGCTGGTGGAATGTTCCGGACGCCAGCAGCGTGACGTCACTCAAGGGTTTAATCTTCTGGTCCTGATACTCCGAGTCACTGCTCCGCCCACTCTCGATTTCCTGTCCCCCAAGATCACTCGACAAACTCTCGCTATCGGCCGTTGTCTTAGGGACCTTGTGCGGGTGAACCACAGGCCTCCTGACCTTTGATCCCGAACCGCTCGAAGCAGAAGTTGAGGAGGAGGACGACGATGAAGACGATGACGATCTCTCTTTTAGTTTACGTTTTCGTGAGTTCCTGTCTTGGCAAGGTGGCGTAGTTTTCACCAAACCGAAGAGACACTTTTTCCGAACTTCCTGGTTCGCTCCATCGCTGTCAGCCGCACCTTCCTCGTCGCTGGTTGCTCCAGCTGTGGTCTGCAGCAACACAGCAGGAACTTCATCGGAATCAGAGTCCTCCGCTAGGTGAGAGTGCGTTGCGACCACGTCCGTGTCCGTGCGTCGTCGCCGTGGCGTCGTCTTCACGCGGGGAGAACGTTTGTTTGCTTCTGCTAACGTCAAATCTTCACTTTCATCCTCCTCATCCTCGGAATTCTCCACCAACACTACATCGGCTGTCTCTTCATCGACATCTTCCACTTTCACCTCCTCTTTCACCCCGACCCCTCCATCCATCCTCTCTCGCACCTCCACCTCGTCTCTTTTCACCTTCTCCTCCTTCACTCTCCGTGTGGCCTGTGCTTCAGCCTTGGTTATGGCGGTAGCAGCTCTAACATTAGAGTTAGCGTTAGCATTAGGGGCGCGGCGTAATGGTACCGGCGTCAGTTTCACCACCAGCTCCTTAGTGATCCCCGCACCCCTGGTGGCTGCACCCTTCCGCGGTCGACCTCTCGCCTTCGACCCGGCGCCGGCTGGTTTGGACGCACCCAACTCTCGATCTAGTGCGTTCTTCAAAGAGATAAAGATCACAGGATCAAACACCTCTGCTCTTCTGAACAGTTTCTGAATGAAAAGCAAAGTCTAAGCAAACAGTACTAACAAAATTAAACAAATGATGGTTAAAATTGTTAGTTTTACATAAACACAAAAAATAACCAAAGAAACAAAGGAAATCGTCACTGTGCAAAAACCCAGTCTCCACTTCTGTCATCTGTCTTTTTTTTTTGCAGAATTTAAAAGTCCAGTTACTACAATATTTCATGATAAATGCACCACTAGAAACGGTCCAAAATTACTTCGGGAAAAAATATCAACTTACAAGTTAATTTTTTTTTCTTCTAAAAAATGTACATTTTGGAGATACAGGATTTTGCTTTTAGTGATGCACCAAAATGAAAACTCACGACCACACAAAACTGAAATTCGAGACACACCGAAAACAAAACAAAGAAAAAGTTCTCTCTCTTCTTCTTTTTTTTAATTAAACTGCCAAATTATTCAGACCATTAATAAATCATACTAAACTTAAACTATTAGATAAAATTATTATACAGTGTCCAGGCTACAGAAGGTGCCACAAGTCCTTGATAGAGAACGCCTGGTCATCCATGGAAGTAAACTGCATTATTTTTTAGTATTATTTTTTTTGGTTTTAACACTTTAGCTGTCGTTTGTGAATATTTTTTCATCACTTCATGAAAGGAGTCTACAGATGGCGCTGGTGTGCTCACAAGAACCTTCCTTTCTGCTTCTATTTTACTGAGTTCTGCGTAAAGCTGGACATTATTTTTAGTGGTATTAAACCTGTAGTGGAGAAATTCTTGGACGTCGTAACCACTCAATGCTTGGGATGAACAGCAATTAATCACTTGTCTTATGTTCCTTAAAGAAACTGATTACTTTTCCCCTACTGTTGTTGCTCAGACTCTTTGAACACACCAAAAACTTTTTTTTTTTTTTAAATCACTAGCTCTCCCTTTCACTCACATTATTTAAGTATTGGATTTAAAAAAAATCTGTTGTAGTCCTACTTATTTTTTTTTTTTCCCTCACTGCCACAATTTTTCACCTTTTTTCTCTCTTTCAACCAAAAGCAAACACTCCATTTTTGGCCTGCTTGTTTCGGTACATCCATTATATTTAAATACATGTTTTGGGTCGACAGTTCAACATCAGTTTGAAGAGACTAACTGTGAAATTCTAATGAAATCAACATCAGCACAATTCACATAACAGTTGACTGTCAATTCCTAGCTCAGATTAGCCAATCTGACAAATTTAAACATTTTCTTGAAGTTTTTGTGACTTTAACACTACATAACACACACCTGCAGCTCGCCCTGGGCCTCGCGCAGATCCCGCAGTATTGTGCGAAACATCATCAGCCTCCTGGCTCTCTCTACATCTTCTTCCTCACTGGCCTCTTCATCCTTTTCGCTCTGCATGAAGGCCGTGAAAGACTGGTTCAGCGATGCCGTCATTTCCACCACTCGCTGCATGCGCTGGCAGAGCCCCTGAGAGGGCGCCATGCCCACTGGAAGCACCGCCCCCATTCCACTGCGCCCACCTCTCGGCCTCCCGCGGCCTCCGCCCCCCATGCCTCGGCCCATGGAGTTGCCTCGTTCGTTGGATCGTTTCCGGGCCCAGATCTTCTCAAGGTTCTGCAGAACCGCGTCACAGGCCAACACAAGGTCCATGAGCGGTTCTGGGCTACACACGTAACAGTACCACTTCCGCTCCTCCTCCAAAATAGCCGACAGCTCCCTCCTCCCCAAATTCCGCAGGACACACTTCTTACAGAAAGCATTACTGCAGTAATCACAGCCAATCAGACTGCCTCCCTCAGCACACCACCTGTAGAAACAACCACAACACAGGAATGCATTTAATTAATAGTTCGACAGAACTGAGCATGAAATCAGTCTCTGCTCTGTATTACGACTCCAATCAGTCCAGACTGAACAACTAATGAAATTCAGCGAGAACATGCAACCTAAACCTGGCGACGCTCATGGGGGCTCGGACACAGATTTTACTGTAAAATCGCTAGATAAACAAACTTTGACCTGACTTTTGGAACAAAGGAATTCACTGATTTTTCAAAAATTCTGCACTGAACAAATTCATTTAAAGTTAATAACTATTTATGGACCATATGTAACGAGGAGCAAATGTTGTTCACATCAATGATGTTGTTCACATCATATAAAGCCAGCTAGATTGTAATGATTTAACTGTTAGGGTATACTGCACTCATTTACAATAACAGCTTCTTAATTCAGCTAGTAGGTTACTCCATATGTTATCAGACTCAGCATTGGTAAATATTTAAACACAAACACCATACTCGTATTCTGAAAAAAATTTACAACACATTGTTATTAAACTATGTGAAAATGTCACATTACAAAATCTTACCTGCACTGTTCATCCATCCCCTCTGCGTCTTTACTGATGTCATCACTCATGTAGTACTTAAAACATGACTGAGAGGCAGAACACAGAGACAATATCTTAAAAATTTAGTACAACGCTGCAAACTGAGTATACTTTATCTCATTCTGAGCTCTCCTGCATTACAAAAGCAGTAAACCTGCATTAAAAGTTCTTTCTACTGTAAAAGTTACCATTTTGGAGATAAGGTTTTTGTTCAACAACAGTTCCATAAAAAGTTCTATAAATACTGATGACACCTGCAATGTGTTCAGGAAAATGTACTGTGAATACTTTATTTGTAACACACCTTGCAGATAAGTACTTTCAGGGCCGGGTGCTGATAGACTGAGTCTCTCAGGAAATGGTTCACCTGCTGGCCGCATGCTGTACAGTTCACTCTCTCCGTGTCATACCCGACTAAACACAAAGCAAGATTGAAAACTACTGATTAGAACACAATTCACACAGTTCACAGCAAACTCAACTAAACAAATCACATCCTACTGCACACAAAAACAAATTCACACTACCACAGCTCCACAAACATCCGCATTTGATCACTGATGGTCAGTGTAATCGTTCACTGACCCAGGTTCAGTAGAAAGCAGGTTTCTCACCTTTGCGTCTGTCTGAAACGTCTCTGTTCTGCTTGTAGACACGTTTACTGCGGAACTCTGGGCCACGGAACTCATCACGAACTTCATTACCCACAGGCTCCGGCAGCACAAAAACGGTACCTGTGTGATGGTAATGAAAATGAATAAAATACAAATGAATAAACAAGTCAGCCCTCAACCTTATGACCCATGTTCAAGTCTTAGAATTAACGCAATTACTAAAACCATAAATAAATCCCAGTGTGTCTGCAGGCATCATTAAGACTTCAATGCCACTTCAAACATAATTCAGGACCAAAATTGCAATGACCACACAACAAACTGAAAAATAAAGCCAGCTGCATCAAAGCAGATTTAACTGTAACCACTGTGAGCTAATGTGATGGTGTGGTGACTGCGGTTGTCCCCCTGCTGAGCTGATCCGTTTCTCTGTTCCGCTGGCTAAAATTTGCAAACAATTCTCCATGAAATAATGCCTTAGAGAATGTGTCAAATAAGCTGGTGTTGCCCCTCTCATATCCAAAATAGATTCGAGATTTAATACATTCAAAAAACAAAATTCGCATTAAGAGGCTGTTTTTATAAGGCCTGGCGTCCACTCTTCTCCCCGCTGGAGGAGGAACTGAAAGCTGTGGATTTGAGAACATAACACTGACTTGTTTTATATATTTCTTTGCATTTGCGCACATTATTACTACTATTACTATTATTATTTAAATGTTTACTGCCTTAACTGCTGAACACTTTTAGTTTTGCTGTCTGTTTGTTGTTTGAAAACCACTATGAAAATTATAATAATAAATAATCATAAAATAAAATAGCCAAAAAAAAGAAAAAAGAGCTGGTGTTACTGTGATAGTCTCTCCATGCAGTAGCCAAACAATACCTAAAATGATATACCCAAGATCGGATGAGGTCAGATCGACAGGAAGGACCACCACAGTCACCTTAAAGGCAATAATCTTAATGAAAAATGAAAACTAAACTTTCATTTTTAAATAAATACCTGACTTTTTTCGGGGCTAAACAATGCTTGTTTATTTTAAACGCATCTAACACAGTCAAAACTTTTTTTTAATCCAACCAAGATATATACCGTTTTGTTCAGACACCAGTGAGTAATGACGTGTTATGTTTATTACTTTGGGCACAAATTATTTGTTTTGGCCACAAGATTCATTGGCTTGGTGGTCGGAGTGCCCAGTGCAAGTGTTTGTATCCATCTATGCATTCTGATATCTGTGTCTGTAACACCACCCACCCCGAATGCGCACCTTTGGGTAAGCAGGTTGTGTCTGGCTCGCTGGAGTTGATGGACAAGACCTCCTCTGTTTCGCTTTCAGAAGAAACGTCAGACTCGTTCAGCCCGCTGTGCTTAGTCACCACCAACGGCTTCCTAGTTTTTTAAAAACATTAATAAATGTTTACTGTATACTAAACAAAACACTCAGACTTCAGTCTGAAAACAGAACACATACTGACATTAAACAGACCTTTTGGAACGCGGTGCGGGGGCTGGCTTAGTCTCTGAAGAGCTGCTGGGCTGAAAACACACACACAAAATACTACAAAAACACTTTCGATTAAACTGAGGCTTAATGTGTACAGTGAAGAGAAATACCTCAGAGCAAAGCTACTGGTGTGCTAAAAATTTATGTTTTAATCTGTGCGTTTGTGAGTGTTGGTACCTCTTTTGCAGCCTGTGCTGCCGCCTGCTGCTGCTGCTCAACGAAATCCTGGGCCATTGCACCTGTGAACACCACAACCAACTAAATTACAATCTGTCAATAACCTTGGTGAACACCAGGGACTTATTTATCATAGTATGTATAAACTGTGCACATCTCTCTGTACAGAAAGTGATTTATTTACTGTGCATAAGAATGTACAAACATTCATAACTACAAATTATTTGGAACACGTAGAAAAAGCCCCAGTGGAGAAGTGTCATCGCTGTTAAACTGATTCCAAGACATCCAACCGCCCATTTATTATAAGCTATTTGAGCATAATGCGGCATATTTAGAATGAATGGCAACAATGGTTTGAACACTAAAAAAAATTAACACTTATTTTACCTTGATTAGGATTAATGAACGATTCTTTTGTTTTTGGTTCCGTTTGTTTTTTTTTGCCCTCAGTTCACTGACACTGTAAATATAATTTTTACACTGTAAAAAATAATTTGTACTGTAAATATGCTCTGCATATCTTAATGTAAATCGTCTCAAGAGCCAGATCGGAATTCACGCATCTTTTATGTCAATCCTCACCCACAGCATTTGACTGACAGGAGCGCCTCATTGACTGGGAAAATGCAACTGCTAACAAGGTTGCAAGTACATTTTCATTTTAGCAGAGCTGAAGCACGACGATGAGGAAATATAATTGCAAATGGCTGACATTTTTAATGTGTCAGAGTCACACTGTTAAGACACTGAAAGTGAAATGTCAAAAGGACCTCGCTTTTCCATGTTAACCTTTTCCAGCGTTTACACAAAATTGCCATTTGAATTTGAATCATCTTACATAGTAAACGCTCACATGGGAAACAGTTGTAAATTTGCAATTTAACCGGCATTTTCAAATTTGCATTTGAATTTGAAGAAACAATGAAGTTTGCTACCATATAATAATACAACAGATACACAAAATTAATATTTTTCATCAAATCTCACAAATTTGTCCCTGTTCAATTTTCAGCATACAGACAAGATGCAAACAGGTGAAATGAGACAGCTAAGGGCTCACAGTAAAAACAGAGTAAAATTCTACAAAAGGCATATCTAAAAATTTAGGAAAAAATAAAAGATTCAATTTTGTGACACACAGTGGCACAAAATAAACCTCAATATCAGAAATTCAAGCTAAACAACAAACAAAATATAAATACTAGTAAAAATAATTTAAAACAGGACAGAGAACACTATGCCTTTTTATGGATAACTGACAACTTCAGCTTTGCTATAACATGTTTTTGCCCCAAACAGTAAATATTTATTATACATATTTACATTATGTATGTCAATCTTTAATTAAGATTAAAAACCACAGAGAGCATAAACAAGACTACCGCTACTTTACAGAACTTTTACTAAGGCTAATCACTATGGAATATTAAGTCTGTTGAATTCAACAACTATGCAAAACACAAGTTACGTCCTAATTTACTTAGTTTTCTAGGCATATTGAAAAATCTGTTGCTTCCCATACCATGGTTAAAAGAATTTGGCAGAAACCTTTGTCAGACTTCTTTTGAGACCTCACATCTATTATAAGGAGAGGCACTTGTTAAAACTTTGCTGGTCTTATGTTCTTTTAAAAGGCCTGTAACTGGCTCCATAACAGGGCATAGTGCTTGGACCCCAATCATTGCCACTTGTGATGTACTTTGAAGACTCAATTATCTTTTATAGTGGTTATTACAGTTCACAGAAATTATGTCCTGTCAATTCCAGACAAAGACAAAGCGGAAGCTGATTGTGTCGGTTGGTAATAATTAGAATTTACACAAACTTTTTTTGTCGTTCGAAGCTACTGAGAAAAATCCAAAGATGTGAAAATGAAACCAACCCCACCACTCATGAAACTTTTTTTTTACGTTTTGATAACGATATCTGTTCTGGCCCATAAAAAGAAACACTATATCTGGGTTGTCTGTAAACTGCTGACGAGTTTGCATGTATGTTTCTGTACTTTTATTCACTGGGGCAGAGAGGATCAGCGGTTGTGAAACTAACACTGAATAGCAAAATATATTCATGAACGTCAGCCACAAAACACACACAGAGCTCCAGACTGGGCTCACGCAGGGCTCAAGAACCGTCTTGAAAAACACTGTCAGCCATTACAAAGTGAAAACGGACCATCCAAAATATTAAACTGCTTTGTTTACATTACATGGATTCCCAAAAATGACAAATATAACAGTTTTGCAATACACAGAATACATGCTTAGCACACATGCACACACATTTGTGTGTGTACAGCATCTATGACAGCTTGTGTATCAAAAGTTTGGTAACTGAATACCCATGCAGTCTTGAACTGTTGAGCACCTGAAATCAAGCATGAATTGAAAAAATTTCACTTTCAAAACTACAAAAAAAAACTAAACAAATTAATAAAAACAACAATAAATCAAATTACATATATACATACATATATATATGGAAAATATATACACAATAGCCTCTAAATATATACACATATACACATTAATATATGCTAGTATTGCATATATTACTGCACAGTTTTGTACAGTAATAAATTATGAAATAAAGCTATGACACGTACAGTACAGAGTCTGAGGTAGATAATAAATGAGATGTACACAGGGGATAGAATATTGATATAGAAATCTTCCAGATTATACAAGATGGATAGAACAAGTATTAATACTTATTTTTTTTCCTCATTTATGGGTCGCTTTGGAAAAAAAAAATACAGCAAGTTCATCACTGTGCCTTGGAACATAATTTGGATCTGAAAGGTTGTGTTCAGATGCTCCGAGATTGGCTAATTACGGCACACAACACTTGACCAGTCTGCATGTTACTAACTAACCACGTTCAAGAAGATTCTAGAGAGACTGTAAAGCAACAAGCAATGTAAGAAAATCTTAAATGTTTGCTTCAGGTTTTAACTGTCCATGTTTAAGGTAATGCTAACATTACACTGCAATGCCTAATGATGTGCTAATGGAAATTAGAATCATGCCTACAGAAGAAATTTGATGAAAGCGAATTAAAAGCAGTTTATGGACTATTATATTTAGGATGAGCGTGGATGGCTGGCACGTTCACGATTTTATGACTGTTTTACAGACATCAAGTTAATCTTCCCAGAAGTGTCCAAAATTGTTAAAACAATGTCCTGCGTGCTGTTTTTTATCATCCCCGGGACGGCGTTAGTCTGGAGCCCTGCACACAGCACAATAATCATCCATTTACTTTTTAATTGCACTACAACACAAAACAGCTTTCTCTCAACCACAGCAGACTACAAACTAATCAATATTTTGAGCTCTACTGACACTAACATTCTACGTTTCTGGCAACATTACCACTTATCACAGTGGTCAGGCACATTGGGCCACAACAACCCAGTGTGTCACAGTTTCTAGTGCTCACAGCACTAGTCACTTATGTGATTTATATGCTGTTAAATCACAACTTATGAAATCCACAGCAGGCCAAGAATAAGTTAGCTCACAAATAGAGCTGAAACACAAGCATGTTTACTCTCTCCAGTTAAAGCAGGCTTCTCTGTGTTATTACCAGCCACCGTGAAACAACGTGAAGTTGCCTTAAAGTTATTGTCATGACGTAGGGCTGTCGCAATAATGAAATGCTACAGGCTGTGGTGCCGTGGCTTAGTTGGTCAAAGTGCATGTCTAGTCAACGGGAGACCCTGGGTTTGAATCCCAGTGGTGCCTGGTGTTTATGGGGGCAGTCGTGGGCTGGAGGTTAGGAAACCACGGCAGTATGTGACTGAAGTGCCCTTGAGCAAGACACCTAACCCGCAACTGCTCCCCGGGCACCGTGGATAGGGCTGCCCACTGCCCCGGGCAAACGTGCTCACTGCCCCGGGCAAACGTGCTCACTGCCCCGGGCAAACGTGCTCACTGCCCCCTTGTGTGTGTGCATTCACTAGTGTATGTGGTGTTTCACTGCACGGATGGGTCAAAATGCGGAGGTGAATTTCCACGTTGTGGTACTAATAAGGGTCACTTAACTTAAACTTAAATTTTAGCTGACATTGTCATGTCATGTTCAGCTACATGTTCATCTGAATATGCGTTCATGTGATGAAATTTTACTAAAACTAAACACATTCTGATGAAGCTTATTTTGTCAACTTGTAGCTAAAAAAAAACCACTGCTTTTTAAATGGGGAAAAAAATCTTTAGGGTTTTTTAAGGATTATTTTGATTACTTGACAGCCCTACTTACAATTAAGTTGACTTGACTTCATTTTTTAACAGTGCAGTGTGTTTATTTGTGCGTAAAACTCACCACTCCAGTGTCCAGGCAGGCTGTGTTCGCTGCCTTGCTCTGTAGACACCGCCAGAAATTCATGGAGTTTATTGATCAGCACTCCCAGCTTTCCACCGCCACTTCTGCTACCCCCAGCAACAGGTTCAGGCCTACAACAAAAAATATTAAGCTCAGTGGATCTTTACGGCAAGACCTGTCAACAGCTTCAACATGGAGACCCCACAACAGATACTGCGTACAAACAGGGGAGCACTGAGAGCCATAGCACAACGCTAATTTTAGGTTTGGAAACACTGAGTGGGTTTATATGCACTCAGTCTGATCATAATCAAATATCTGCAGTTATTTGATTATTCAAATGGTCATGTAAACAGCACACTCTGATTTCTTAGCTCAGAGTAAAGTCTAGAAGATTAAGAAATCTGATAAAGAGGCTGGATTTTAGCTTAGTAATCAGATTTCTCAGTGCATGTAAACTCTTACTCTGATTTCTTTCGCATTTCTCAGTCTGTGCATGTGTGAAAACAGATGGCGGTACCAGAAATAAGTGAGCAGCGTCGCCGCGAGACACAGCAAAACACTTTTGGAGCCATTTGAAACCAAACACACACTTGACAAAATGAAGGATTTAAATATTCATCTTCTAGATGATGTATGTTCATATTTCAGTTCAAAGTGGTGCGATATTTTAAAAAAGCCGCGCAATGAAGTTTGAGTTTTACATGACATTTACTGGCTGGTTGCAATGCAGAAATCTGATTACTGTCTGACTCAGGTAAACCTGAAATTTCCCCATTATCTGATTACTCAAGTGCATGTAAATGTATTGATCAGATTACTGACAAAATCCAGTTAAGCTAATCCAGATAACCTCAGAAAAGGGGGGGAAAATCCATTTGAAACCAGCCGAGGGAAACCGGTAGGTTTTCATACATTATAATGTAGCCTAGGCTTTGGAAAACACATGAACTTTGATTTTACGAGCAGTGAGCAACAACACAGAGTGCATCCACAATAAACAGTAATGACGCACAATTTCACAAAGCAGAATTTCTCAGAAAGCTGGATAACTTAAGGCAAAGGTTGAGGGCAGAACAATAGGAATTCACTTAGCTCTTCTGCTGTTGGACAGGCTTTTCTGGCCCAAGTTACCAGGCTAACCAAGAACTACCCCAAAGGTCATGCGCTGTCCAGTGACCACAGATTCAGATGCTCCGCCCACATCATTTGCACACACAGCCATTCATAACTACCAGGATTTTTCAATGACTTTTCTGACTACCCACACGTTCATGCATGCACACTTTCACACAGCGTTTTTTTTATCATCATTCAGATGTGAAACAACGTTCAACACTAGCCAGAAATAGTGAACAGCTGCCTGCACTGGGCACTGTGACCAAAGAAAAAAAAAAAAAAGAGCCTTTCAGAGCAAAATATGAGTCAAATTTCCACCATCACTTCATCTACACACCAGGCCAAAGCAGAAGGCTGTGACTGGTCATTTGGTATGTCAGTCAAACGGCCTCTTCCTGGTTAGTTCTTGGTCACATTAGCTATGTTTACATGCGGCCTGATAATCCGTTAATAACCCGACTAATAGCTCAATCGGAATAGAATACTTCCATGTAAACACCTCAATCGGAATAGTCTAGTCCGATTGAGGCCTTTCTGAAAACAGTTTCTATCTGACTGATTGAGGTGGGTAATCCTGTAAGTAATCTGGTAAATATAAGAATAATATCCATGTAACACCTGTATCTTATTACATTCCCAATCGGAAAGTTTAAGTACGTTCTGATCATGTGCGTCGCTTCCTAGTGAATGTTCATTCCATTCAACATGGCGGAGCAGAAACTGGTCTGCAGAGGAGACAAAGTTTATGCTCTGATCTTTAAAAGGCGGCGGTGGGACGGACGTCCAGCTTGTGTGTCTCAGAACACGACGTCTTCCTCTCGGCCTTCTTTAATAAGGACATGTGAAGGACGTTTTCCTGAATCTGACATCATTTTAAAGCAATTAAAAACATAAGCACTGCTCACTGCTGCTCATCTCACTCTGACTGGACTCACGTGATGCTCATTGTCATGGTAATGTCTACAGTAAGCGGTTCTCTACGCATGCATGTAATTTTGGATCAGATTACTTGTGAGCATGTAAACAGAGATTTTACGTCAGGTTGTTGAGTAGAGTGAGAATATAAACACATCAGTCTTAATAATGTAGTATAACCAGAATGTACTGAACCGGATTGGAGAAAATCTTTGCATGTAAACACAGCCATAATATGGTGAAGCTGTCTGGCTTGCAAGACTGAGCTATCATGAAGAAAATCACAGTTGTGATCTGGAAAGCATGAGCTGAATGCACAGGCGTGATGTTATTCACAATGACACACATCCTCTCATGCTTAAATACAAACTTACTAACATGTTAATGCTTCTATTTACCATTTTTTGAGCATTAACCATTATAAAAATACAATATTAGAAACCTGTGAATGGCACAGCGGACTTCAGCCTGATCCACTCTATTTTCTTGTAGCAGCATCAGTAGAAGCAGAAACACTAAAGCCTTGGGTTCACTACACAACTTTTAAAGTCAGAACAGACTATAAAAATCTGTTCAAGTGTCTCACACTATCCAGCTGGTTTTTGCTGATTTTTTTTTTAGCTGAGATATTGGGGATCCACACTAAACGATTAGGGATCACACACTACTCAACTTTTCAGCTGTTGCTGAACCAAACTAACTCACTGAACTCACGCAAACTCTCTCGTTCTCCCATTACTAGGAGACGCAAATAAACAAACATGGGGCTGCTGCTGCTGTTTTCTCTGCCGTTTGCATTAATGCAGTAAAGAAGATCATGGATTGAAAAATGTGATCAGTGTGATTTTTTTTTTTTGTTTTAAACGTACACAAACTTGGTTGTGCCTTAAAATCAGCTCATTAAAAAGCTTTGATCCACACGTGAGAGACTTTTCACCATTTTACCTTGTTTACTTGCTATATTTTCTTCTTTCGCACTCTTGGTTTTCACCGGCTGCTGCAGGAATCTGTTCAGATTAAGTATTTGATCAGTTTACACTAGATTGCACTCAGAGTCAGGTCGAAAAAAACGACTAATAAACTCTGACTGGTCTGAAACGCAATCGGGAGGCAGTAAATCTGAGTCTGTGCACCTCACACGACTCGGCTCTCTCTCCAACTGTTGACTCCGACTGACCCAAAAATCTGCAGACTAGAGCAAACCAGCTCAGGCTCAGCCAGACTGAGAATCAAGGCTAAAATCAGGGTAAATGTCGTGTAGTGTAACCCCGACTTAATCAGATTTATAAAGAAAAAATAAATAAATAAATAAAACAAAAACCCCAGAAAATATCGTCTTAGATTTATTAACCATTGATTTGCATATCGCTCTGAATCAGAACATCTGCGAAGAGACTAGATGTAAGTGTAAAGAACTACAGCATAAAACTCTAACTGTTGGTGGTGTGTGCAGATGTACGGACATGCCATTGCAGCCCTGAGCTAAACGGGAACATACAAGCTTACTTACTCATCTAATGTTCTTACTCATGTTCTTTTACTTAACTGGGTATTTAAACATGCAGCTGCAGGACGTCACCACAGAAATGTTAAAACACAAGCAGCTGATATGGCGTCTCATGTTACACTAAATGTGCTTTTGCTGATACATAAAATATTTAGGAATCTGTTAAAGTGGGACAAACGGGGAACTGGAAATAGTTAAAATGGCTCAAAATATACTTGGGTGGTTGTGAACATACTTGAGGGGACCACCCAGACCACTAGTTCCAGACCACCCAGTCATTATCTGCTAACTTGTACAGAAAAGTAAAAGTACAGTACAGAAAACTAATTCACAAAGAATTCTGGGTAGCCCCACCCAAGCGCTACAATATTTATAGAGGAACTCAACCGATTTTTTTAAAATTTCACATTATTACATGTCGAGATGTGAAGAAAGTCATTCAGAGTGGTTTGGTGTGAAACACTCTGCTCTAGAGAAACTTGCTGATTCAGCAGTGGTGATAGGAACCAGACATCTGAAGTGTTTAATGCCTCTGAAAGCTCCCTCATACATTTATTACACAGAATGGCTATGATTACTCTGCCTGATGTCTGAGGCATTGTTTTATGATAGTTTTCTGGTCATGTTTTGGCTTAAAATGTATTTTAATCCACTTATTTCAATTCATTTATGGCAGAGAAGTGCATGCAGGGCACTGTGAGGCAAAAATACGTTAAAGAAAACTCTTTTCAGATTTATGACTATTTTACCGTCGTCAAAATTCCATATAAAAACTCAGAAGACATGTGTAGGTTCACTGGTGGTTTTGGATAGTAATTAAAATGGCTATATTTGTGTTGTAGATATTGTGACCCTTGGTTCCCATTACCACCACTGTAAAGACATCTGAGTTTTTCTACAAAGAAGCACTTCACACCAAACCACTCTGAATGCCTTTGTTTACATCTCAGCCACTAAATGAGTTCATAAATATTAAATTATACTGGCCGTTATTAAAGGCTACTGGAGATTCTCAGTTGGTTTTATCAGCTGTCTCTCCAGAAAGCAATCACATTAGTTAGTGAAGTGCTGTTAATTAAAAATATTGGGAGTCTCATTTTAACTATATTAAATTATACCTGCTGATATCAGAAAATGTACAGAAATACTAGCGCTCTAAAACTGGCATCCATATCTGTCAGGCCTTATTGCAATAGTTCCCACTGCTTGTGTGTCTACAAAACCCCAGTAACTTCTACAACTGTCCAAACAGTTCATACATTAAGGCCCTGTAGCACAGTGTTAGTTCCTGGCTAAGCGTTTAGCAGTGACAAGAAAGCACACAGCCTGTTCTACTCTAAATAAATGCCTTAACTGCCAGCTTCTAAATAAGGTGTGTTTACTTGTTTTTCAACTTCTTGTGAGTTGATTCATCAGTCATGGCCCACACAGCTGTTGTGTCACAACCAACAAGCCAAACTGTGGTGTAATATTTTGTCCTCTAATACAGTATTTTTCAAAAATTAAACATGTTTCTCAGTCTAGCCTACCACTTGTGAGCTCTAGGGATGATGGGGTTACACACAGAACATGGCAACAAAAAAACAATGCAAATAAAAATATTCAGGCAATTTCTATACCACACACACGACAAGGCTTTTTAATTTATTTTAAAAATGGCAGAACGTCTTCAAGTGACAGAAAAAACATGCTCTGCTTCCCACAGAGCAGGCAAACAGTGATCATAAACAACCTACTTTCCATTTTGGAAACGCGAAAGGAGAACGCAGCACCGTTCCACCTCATTCAGGAAATGAAACTATGACTGCTTTCATATACAGCGCAGATGTCTGTAACTCTGAGCTGCATTTTGAGATGCAGGCAGCAAACTAATTCTCAACATTTGCCAAAATGTAGTTGCTGGGACACAAATCGGTCATCTTGGTTGTTACCATGCCAACGCCAGAGACAACCACGATCACTGATGTGGATGCGCATAATCACTTCAGTAACTAATGTGATTGTCAGCTGTCTCTCTAAAAAGTAGAGCAACTGACAAATTCCAGTTGCTATTATTAATGGCCAGTGTAATTTAATATTTATACTCCGGTAGTTTTATTTAACTCCAAATGTGTTTAAATATCGTAGCACAGGGGTGTCCAATTTTATCCGCAAAGAGCCGGTGTGACTGCAGATTTCCATCCCAAACAAGCTTTAGCACACCTATACACACAATTTTTTGCACTGTTTTCTTGCCACGCTCTGTATGTAACTCCTATATACCATAGCTCAATAAGTGGTAGGATAGACTGTGTAGACTTGTAATTGCAATTATTTCCAGTGATGATGATGACGACAATAATAATAATAATAATAATAATAATAATGACATCTGAAGTTTTCAGTAATTTGAACATAGCAAAGACCCATTTGTGCTTGTTTTAGAGTGGTGTTTGTATTTTTCTATTTTTCCTTTGTATTTTTTCAAATTTTCCAATAACACTAACCTTTTCAATCCCTTGAGACCACCCGTGGTTCCAAACCGCACTTCATCTTATTCTTCGTAACTTTCATATTTCATAAGCTACATTCAAAAGGTGGGGTGTCATATGAGAGCTGTAACTGTCTTCTGTCCAGTCAAATAGATGGATGATGTAATTTTAAACCCTTATAATAAAAGAAGCTGAACTCAATTTTGTCTATTGAAAGTCGACCCATTTTTCCACAAATCTGGGCTATGAACTATAAACAGATGGCGTCTCTTCAGTGATCTGCTCTGTAAAAATTATTTTTATAAAATAATACAAAGAGTGTCTAAGATTTTTGGCTTTCAGCAGTAAATTGTAAGCATATAGCAACATGTGTATGATCATAAAACATTCTCTGTTAATCTGAGGGGAGCTTTTACAAAAAATAAATAAAAATAAAATAAAAATGTACATTTATTTCATGCAGTTACTGAATAATTTGCCTTATAATTTGGCCATGTAAATTCAAATGGTAAAACCAAAATATACCCTGGTCAATAAGAGGTTAAGTAAACTATTTTCATAACAGTGAGCTGAACCGCTTTCCTTGACAACAGTTAGGAGCTTTGGGGCACATCGCTAAACACGTAGGCTGAGGATCAAGGAGCAAGGCCTGAATGGCGAAGTAGCATAAAGGCTCGTTTATATTACAGTTACATAACAACACGTCCGTTTCAAACGATGTAACCATCACTGCCCACATACTTCCACGCATCCTTTATGTTGACATGGATGTTAAGCAGTAAATCCACTAGAGGGCAGTCCAGAGACAAAAACTTCTGACAGCAAACATGGCAACGGTCATCGTCACGCAAAGGTTCAAGGGTTCTTTAATGAAGAAAATGGTTCTATATAGATCTATGAAAACTCAAATCCCTCTGCATGGTGACAAGGTTCTTCAAATTGATGAATATGCTGCAGATGGTTCTACACAGAACCTTTTCTAAAAGGGTTCTATATAGCACCCAGGAGTTTTTCCATTGATACAAGCATGACATCGTAATAACAGCAGAACCCCTTTTGGTGCTATACAGAACCATTTTTAAAAAGGTTCTATATAGAACCATCTACAGCACATCGCACCATCAATCTGAAGAATTCTAATCATGCAAAGGGTTCTTTGAGTGTTTATGGTTCTATATAGAACCATTTTCTTTACTTAAGAAGGTTCAAGCAATCATTTTTCAATGTAAAGCTTGACACTGTAACAACAGCAGAACCCTTCTGGGTGCTATATGAAGCCATTTGCAAAAAGGTTCTATACAGAACCATCTACAGCACATTCTCCATCAATCTAAAAAACGCTTTAATCGTGCAATGGGTTCTTTGAGTGTTCATGGTTCTATATAGAACCATTTTCTTTACTAAAACAACCCTTAAACAAACAATTTAAGTGTGAAGCTTGACATTGTAACAAAAAAAAAAAACAACAAAACATTTTGGGTGACATATGGAACCACATTCTGAACTTTAATCATGATAAGGGTTCTTTGAGTGCTAAGGTTCTTTAGAGAACCATCTTCTTTACTAAAGAACCCTTGAAGGAACCATCTTTAGGAATGTATTGGATCATGACATAATTATCACAATAACAATTAATACTGTCCTTCTACAAATTTAAGGCTAATTTTTAATTTAGTTATGTTAGTTATATTGCAAATTTGGCTAATAGGTTTTGCCCAGATAGATGGACAAAATGACCACAAATACACTGGAATCAGATATAAAAATTCATGGCTGCTGACTCATTGACAATTAGTAAAATCGATTTTTTTTCAACATATAATGTCACATATTGTGAATTCATCCAGATCAGTGTTTTGTCTACTGACTGCTCACTGCTGCATCGGGTTCTAGGTTCGAGCCTCACGGAAAAAGGCCAACATTGCTCTAAAATCCTGCCTGGTACATGCTAGATTAACCAGATGCACCAGCATGCAAGCAGCTTTCCCTAAACTGAATCTGTGTTGGATTTAAAGGGGGTCTGGAGTGTGTGACTGCACAAAATCTGAGAACAATAAAGTTTAGCCTATATGGAAAAAAGCAGCTTTCATTTTCCAAGGGTTTATGGAGGAGGGATTAACAAGTGGGCACGCAGATCGTGTGTAGTGTAGTCTACCCTATTTTCTCCCAAATCTCCAAAACTAGCTCCAGCACACTGGAATAAACTTAATTAGCCAGCCATGCAATAGAGAAAGAATCGGAGCAAACACACAAAAAAGCAGTGCATGAAGCTTCTAAGCTGTTCAATTACTGAAAAACAGCAATGTCTTTACTAATGTTGTAACATTCACACCAAATCCTTCAACAACGTACAGCTGATTTATCTGGTCACTTTTATTTACGCAGCACTAATCTCTGAGATTCATAACAGAACTTAGGCCAAGTGCCAAAATCAGAGACAAACAGCACAAGCTAACTAAATACTCTAAACTAAGCCAACAGATCCAAGTTACAACCTTTTCAGCAATTAAAAATCCAATATAGGTTACCGTATAAGAGTGCAATGTGGAATAACAGTTTCGTGATTGCCAAATAAAAATGTGTAATAAAGGACGAGGCTGAGCTAGGTTAAGTTTTCTGCTGCTTCTTATTTATTAGAATTTTCCGTTCCACCTTAAATAGCGCAGCAGTTTCAATCCGGCGCCGGCACAATTAATCATAATTAATAATCACTGTTAACCAGGTGCTTAACAATAATATCGCGATGACGGATATCGTGAAGCTGGCGCCACCACAGACACCTTGACGGGATTATACAATATGTGGCTACAAGTTTTCCAGCTACGCTAGCGCAAGCTAGCTAATCCACTCTTTGTCTATGGTTATTTTGTTAGCTAACGCTAACCAGCTTCCAAGCTAGCTTAACTGTCATACGCCGAACTAAAACACACTGAAAAAGCTCGCTTAGCGGGTGAAAAGGGGCATAAAATTGCTATTTGGCTCGCCGGCGAGGCTGAAAAGACGTTTTATTTGCTATCAGCTCTCCGGAGAACCGTTAAAAATCAGGGCAGCTGCGTTAGCTGAGCGGCTAACTGTGAACTACTTCACTTCGAATAAAGCATAAATATCTCCGCTCACCTCAGAACCTCGGTCGACATCCTGCTCTCGGAGGGGGCACCTTTATACAGACGACGTTGCTCCTAATTTCAGGAGAGCCACAACCATTCTCAGTTTTACTCAACAAACTGTGAAAAAGCTGCGCTGCACAAATTTTCAACCCTGTTTTAAAAAAAAATTTACACGCTCTCCGCCATCTTGCCGGCTAAAGTTGCACCCGACGCACTAAAATGGCGGCCAAGTGTGGACGTGCTCCCGTCATTTCCTTTGGGGGGGCGGGGGTGAACATTAATTAACACAAAACTTTAATATTAAAGCGATTTAAAATATATATATATATCCATATAATTTAATGGTGGGGGTGTAAACAGAGTCATTTAGAGTGGTTTGGTGTGAAACTCTCAATCCTAGAGAAGCTTGAAGAGTCAGACTCTTTCACAACGGCGGTGATGGCCTTGCTGAAAAGAATAGAAACCATTAAAGTTTTCTGTTGGTTCCTGGTGGTGTCCAGTAGTCTCTAATGGTATTTTGTGTTTTACTAATGGGTTGATATCACAGTGTAAAGGACTCTAATGGTTCAACAGGTATTCTGGAACTGATTCCAGGAATATTTGATGGAATCTAGAGGTGTCCTACAGGAAACTAGTGGTGACCAATAAGCCAATTTCCCCTAGAAAGCAAAATCATCAGGATTTAATCCTAATGGTTCCAATGGTACACAAGTACACAAATCATGTACTTGAGATACAGTTGAGATACCCAAGATAAAATATTCCTCCAGTAAAAGTAGAAGTTCCTCCTTTTAGACCTCCACTTGAGTAAAAGTACAAAAGTATTTCCTTCAAATGTACTTAAGTATCGGAAGTAAAAGTACTAAAATATTAATTATGACTTTAATGTCCTATTACTGTTTTTGTAACAAGACTCTGCTTCATTAACTCGTTTTAGGTGAAAATACTCCAGTGTTACTCTTGTAACACCAATCTATCAATAGAATGTCATTAATTAGTGTCACTGATGTCTATTAAAATCATCATAAGCACAAAACACTGAAGGCAAACAGTTTCCATTAGGTAGAACTGAGTGGCTCTGAAATAACCTTTTGCGAACAAGCAAAGTTTCAGGTTAAGATTTATTTGCAACTTAGTTACAAGTTTAATAAAAACTTTAATCACAGGTTCACAAATGAGTTTTCCTTTACTATATTGCATCTGTAGGTCTCTGTTCATAAACATAAACTAACAATACAAATTTACTATAAAATGAAATTGTGTTTGTATAAATTCAGAAAAAAGACACATCAGTCACAACTGCATATGTGTACATATTTCTATATTGTGGTCTGCTGCACTGATGTTGAACCGTATGACCAACAGGTCAAAACAAGCCCAAAACTAAGTGCGTGCTGTGCCCTGATTGGTGTTCTTGCTTTGCGCTTCTTTTGTTTTGACATGTTATGTTTTTTATACACACATAAGCCAAAAGGAACGACAGATTACGCATAATGTAGTGGAGTAAAAAGTAAGATATTTGACTTTGAAATGTAGTGGAGTGAAAGTAAAAAGTCGCCCAAAATGGAAATACTTCAGTAAAGTACAGATACACGAAAAAACTACTTAAGTGCAGTAACGAATTACATTTACTTCATTACTGTCCACACCTGAAAATATATATATATATATATATATATATATATATATATATATATAAAAAACTCTAATCATGCAAAGGGTTCTATGAGTGTTTATGGTTCTATATAGAACCATTTTCTTTACTTAAGAATGCTTGAACCATCATTTTTCAGTGTAAAGCTTCACATTGTAACAATAGAAGAACGCTTCTGGGTGCTACATGAAGCCACTTGCAAAAGGTTCTATACAAAACCATCTACAGCACATTCTCCATCAATCTAAGGTGCCCTTTAATCAAGCAAAGAACCCTTTATCATACAAAGAAAACTTTATAATGCAAAGAACCCTTTATCATGTAGTGGGTTCTTTGAGTGTTCATGGTACTATATAGAACCATTTTCTTTAATAAAGAACCCTTAAAAAGCTATTTAAGTATGAAGCTTGACATCGTAACATAAAAAAAAAACATTTTGGGTGCTATATAGACCCCATTACAGAAAGGTTCTATACAGAACAACATTCTGAACTGATTCTCAGTTTTACTCAACAAACTGTGAAAAAGCTGCGCTGCACAAATTTTCAACCCTGTTTAAAAAAATTCACACGCTCTCCGCCATCTTGACGGCTAAAGTTGAACCAGAGCCGGTTTATGAGGCTCTGGTCAAGAGCAGACCAGAGCCTACAAGTTCTCTGGTTGGACCCGGTGCACTAAAATGGTGGCCAAGTGTGGACGTGCTCTCATCATTTCCTTTGGGGGGCGGTGAACGTTAATTAACACAAAACTTTAATACAGGGTGTCCCAAAAAAATTGACATCATTTGAGATGTGAATATCTGAGTAACTACATGTCGTAGGCAAACGATATTAAACAGGCTTCATGTTGAACAGCACAAGATTTATTTGTCAAAATTCGAACAAGAAATTCAGAGGGATGTAGATTTTATAACCGATTTCACAGCTTCACAAATGTAAAATCTTCTGATACTGGTGGTCGTCCAGATCCCTTTGCCCACAGACAGCCTTCCTCTTTGAATTTTTTGTGTCATGTCCAAATCTGCTTTCCAGTTGGTGCATTTTTATTGAATTTTCTCGAAAATGCGTGCTGCACACTCTTGACAGTGTTCAAGCATATTCTAACACACAAAATGTCTTTTCATTTCTAGTGAGCGCCATTCTTCAACCCGAAAAAATTAAACTAAAATATTAAAAATTAAACTTAGTTTTTACACAATTTGTTAAAATTTGAGATCATTTGAGGGAGAATTGGCTGTTATTAGACTATGAAATGATGTAAATTTTTTTGGGACACCCTGTATTAAAGCGATTTCATAAAAATATATATCCATGATTGAATGGTGGGGATGTAAACAGAGTCATTCAGAGTGGTTTGGTGTGAAACTCTCAATCCTAGAGAAGCCTGAAGAGTCAGACTCTTTCACAGCGGCGGTGATGGCCTTGCTGAAAAGAATAGAAACCATTAAAGGTTTCTGTTGGTTCCTGGTGATGCTAAGTAGTCTTTAATGGTATTTTGTGTTTTACTAATGGGTTGATATTACAGTGTAAAGGACTCTAATGGTTCAACAGGTGTTCTGGAACTGATTCCAGGAACATTTGATGGGATCTAGAGGTGTCCTACAGGACACTAGTGGTGACCAATAAGCCAATTCCCCTTAGAAAGCAAAATCATCAGGATTTAATCTTAATGGTTCCAATGGCTCTGGGCTTTTTTCAGCAAGTAGGAACCAGACATCTGCCTCTAAAAGCTCCCTCACAGAAAGTTATTACATGAATTGGTTATGAATTCACTGCCTGATGTCTGAGACACTGTTTTATGATAGTTTTGTGATGAAAGTTTTGGCTTAAAATGTACTTTAATCCATTTATTTGGCCATTCTTGTGGGAGGGCTACATGCAGGGTGTTGTGAGCAAAAGGAAACTTACTTATTCAGATTTATGACCATTTTTACCATCATCAACATTACATACAGAAGCTCATAAGACTTGTGTAGGTTCACTGGTGGTTTTGGATGGTAAATAAAATGTCTATATTTGTGTTGTAGTCATTGTGACCGCTGGTTCCTATCATCACCACTGTAAAGACATCTGATCCTGTAAGTTCCTCAACAATAAATCATGTTACATCAAACCACTCTGAATGAATCCGTTTACATTTCAAGGACTGAATTATTCAGATTTTTTTTTAAAAATTGGTGGAATTCCTCTTTAACTTATTACTTTCTATTACTAATGGAACAATACTAAAATACACACATCTGAGTCTCATTTTGATACTACATTAATGTATTATTCAGTATTATAATAAGTTGCATCTCCTGACATTAGCTAGCTATATTTGTGTTAAAAGGGGATTAACATAATTGTTTCCCAAATTTCCAGAATAATTAAGTGGTTAAGATGTAAACAAAGTCATTCAGAGTGGTTTGATGTGAAATATTTCATTGTAGAGACTCTTTACACTGGTGGTGAACCTACACGTCTTCTGATGTGTAATGCTTTGATATATCATGCTGATGAGGTCACTTTAAAGGTATAACCTTATTTGCCAAATTATAGATTGAAATAAATTATTCATTTTAAAAATTAAGTAAATAATTAGAAGGTCCTCAGTGTTCTCATGCTTAACATAGACGGTAGTTAACTGTGATCTGTGATTAAGATAATTCTGTGCTACAAACTCCACCCTGTTACTTATTTAAGCCACTGTCAGCTAAAAACACTGTGTTTACATGCACTCAGTAATCCGATCATAATCGGATTTCTGCAGTTATCTAATTATTTAAATGGCTACGTAAACAGCATACTCCGATTTCTTAGAGTATGTAAACTCTTACAACTCTTACAATCAGACTGTGCTGTTTACATGACAATTTGAAAAATCAGATTACTGCAGAAATCTGATTATGATCAGATTATTAAGTGTATGTAAACACACTCATTGGCTTTGGGTTTTTTCAAGGTGTATCCTAATTCTCCCTGTAAACGTCTGCACTCATTAGCATAAACTCTTCTGGTTGCCTAAACACATAGATATAGGCTTTGTATCGTTTAGTTATGCTTTATTATGAATGTACAGACCTACACGACATTATAATAAGTTTAATATAATAAGTTGAATAAGTTTATCACTTGTGTGATATTGTGTAAATTCCTGTGGGGGTGAAAAGATTGCAGGAGCTCCCGAATGGCGCAACCATCGAAGCCTTATTATCAGGATCCCTGGCAGTGCCACAAGCATCCAGGGCCAGGAGTCCAAGACAGCATAACTGGGTAGGATGGCATGTGCAAGCATCTGTTAGTTAACATAACAGAACTGGCAGTTAGCGTTCTCCTTCAAGCATGTTGAACTCTGAGCAGCAGTTCAAAATGGTGGTGCATCACGGGTCTTGATAGAAGCATGCTAGCCTTCTCCCTCCCTGTGCCTGGCCGCTTCCTATTTCCCCTGTTATATCAAAAACAGGACTGCAAAACGCCAGAGGGGCCCGCGAGCGAGTCCTCAGTTAATGGGAGTAAATGGAGCTAACCGCCAAAAAACGAAAAGTTAAAATAGTTTCTAATCACTCACCCAGAACTTTA